GCACACAAATGAAATTGTACATGCTACCACCATCACTAACTCATGTTCTCCTCCACATGTCTTAGGAGAATAAACCAGAGAGAGCAAAAAGTGTGTTCAGGCCATGAATCCTGTGCCTGGAACGGAAACTCTGGCTCTGAGACCATCAGAAAGCCCTCTGAGTTAGAGCAAGGCTGAAGATTCCCAAGGCACTACCTGGTGTCATCCCAAAGACCAGATGGGTGCTATTTTCTCATGCACTGTATCTGCTTCTAGACCTCTCCCCACATGCAGAGTGGTATACCAATAGGTCCATATAACAGGTACTGGTTTATAGCAGGTACTGGTGATGTCAGGGCTCAGGTGCTTTTTCTGGACCTTCCCACTTTTTCCAGTGAGATTTGAGAGAAGTTAACACCCCAAGATTTAGCCCAGATCACTATCAGCAAATGTGCATAGAAATACCTCCAACTTTCCTGGAGCCTGGCGACTTCTCAGAAGCTAGGGCCAGCTCCACAGTTGCAGCTGTTCCTACAACAATATAGATCACCCTTAGAGCTGTGCCAGGGAACACACAGAGAAAATTAGTGACTGAACATGAAGTCTGGTTCATTGAACTGAAAAGTCAACCTCAAGAGGCAAGCATGTGCAGCAAGCTACTGTAGCACACAGTAATTCACAGGAAATACAGGTTTGCCTAGGACTCTGCCTGCCTCCCTTAAATGTATTGACATATATCAATGGCACTAGTGCTCTTGATCACAGAGCAGCGTCACCTATAAACATGCTCGTGCCATGACAAGTGCATTCCATCCTGTCTAACCCCACGCACATGCGAGGCCTCAGCATGGTCTCAGCATTCAGAGTGAGCAGATCCTGGTGCATGAACCACCTAAATTATCAACAGCATTATATTGAACTCTATGAAGGCACAGGAATCCTCACAGCTGTTCAACAGTATCTCTTTGGAGTCAACCAGTTTGTATAACACAAATCACCGCAGTTCCATCAGTCCCACACAGTTGAGGCCTGAAGTTTAGACTTCTTATATAGGTATTTAAGTAACACCCTTGCTTCTTCCTGCTGCACAGATCTCGTCAGTCTAACTAGTACACATTAGAGAGATTGTAGCTTGGCAGCAGAATCTGGCCTTTTGAGGCTTTCTTGCCAATGTTTCTGTTGCTGCAGAAATGGCACCTGCTTGCACGTAAGTGAACCAAGAAATCTGTGAGGATTTGCTCTTAGAGATCACCAGTTCTGTTCTGATGTGATCACTAGAGCTCATCTAAATCAGCAAAGCTGTGAGAAAGCATGAAATGAGCGTAGCATAGCAATTCAGCTCTGTATTGTGAGTTAGCCAAAGAAAAGCTGCTTTGCACCAGCTGGGTACACGGAGTCAGGCTGAGTTACTTTATCATTTACATCTTTAAGCTGGTTAGCTCACTTGCAGTGCACCCTGGATGTGGTGGATTTGTCCCATACAGCTGAGCACTTATATTCCCACCAGACTGCAGAGGAAGGACTCTGTCCTCAGTTTGCCTTTGCCTTTGTTGGTCTTTCCAAAGCCATATGGCCAGAGTAAGACCCTGATGCCAAGCTGTAAAGAGCAAAGAAATTAAGAGGTCTGACTATGCTCCGTGTGGCATATGGGCACTGTAGTGGCCTCACTTAAAAAAAATAAGAAAGAAAAAGTATATAAAAGCAGAGTAATTAGAATGCATGGTTTGTCTGGAGTAGTAAAGTCCATGTTTAACTTCCCTAGGTATTCAAACCCAGCAGGTGCCTGTGCCCAGATCTGAAGGTAGCACTCCTCAAAGAGCCAAGGTGCCCTTGTGGTCACTGCAACATGTTCTCGGAGAACTTCCTTGCAGGGTTGTCTGCACCCTGGCTCTCAGAGTGCACTATGTTCAGAGAAAGGAGTAGGAATGGGTCTGATCCCTCCCTTCCAATCTTCCTCAGGGTTTTTAAGCCCCTCCATCCAAGGTTGTTATGTAGCTGCTAGGACGCAGGAGGTCCTTCTACCCTCTGTGCACTCCTTCAAGGATTCCCCCTGGCCTAAAAGGGATGTCTGGCTCTAAGAGATATCATCTGGGATCTAGGGAGGCTGAGAACCTGTTTCCTGGTTTTTCATATAGCCCATGTCCAAATAAAGCACCACTAGCTCTTCAGGAAGGAGGGCTGCAATGACCTAACATGAATGATGTGACTACCTGCAGTGTAGCAAGTTGAAGTCAGGTTGAAGCAGAAAGTTGCAGGAAGAATTGGAAAAAAATTATCCAGTTCTTCATATGCTGTTTTGGTTTGGTATTTACCTACTTCTTGTCACAAATTTCCTGTTGAACAGCCCTACAGGAGTTTTCAGCAGCTGATGAATTATTATGAACTCTCTTGAAACAACTCAGCACTATGTGAGAGTGATGTTAGTTATGATGTATTTGCTGTGACTTCGATGCCAGTGCACTAGGAAATCCTGCAGGAGTTCATTTGGAGTTAGTGTTAAAATGCTCTGCTACTGCTAACATGCTCAGATCATCTTGACTTTTCTCTCTTCTGCCCCAACTACTCAATTCCCAGGTCTTTCCTTTTCTTTTTTTCTTTCTGCTTCTTTTTTTTAATTTGAAAAAAAAAAAAAAATCCACAAAGCAGAGGTCAAATACAGACCAGCTTAATCAGAAATTCATTTTATCTGCTTTAGCAGTTGTCTGTAAAATTGCATACTTGTAAACTGTTGGCAAAAGCATCTAACAAAAAATCCTCTGTATTATTTATAACAGCAGTTTGCCTTCATGTGCTGCTCAGAGAAACTAAGCATCCCCCTAATGAATTAGTGATTACTCAAGGCAGTATTTACATGATACACAACTTCTTGATTATAGCTAGCTGCCATCACCTGCCTGTTAGTTCAGCTTCTCAAGTAGCACGGAAGTGTCTTAAGGAGAGCAAGGTTCTTCATTCAGCAAGGTGGGGCAACATTTTTCTACAATACCATTGCTACATTAGGCAGCTGAAATGTGGATCTGTAATAATGAAATGCACAGATGTTTTGCAGATTGAACTAACGAGGAATTATCTCTGTGACACGAATAGTCCAGTGCGACATCACATATACGTAAGTTTCCTGTGCCCCTGCACTTCTGAAATAGGTGGACCACTATCTCTGCTTTAAAAAGATGATTCTGCTTTATGCATAAATTGTGAGAAACATGACATGGTCCTTCACACCTGGAATACTCAGTCTTAGGACTTACAGTTGCTGCAGACTTGTATGTTTCAGCTGTAAGGGAACAATAAAAGCACATTTTGTGTAGAATACCGAACATCTTTCAGGACTGTGGTTATTTCAACTTTCTCACATAAAAACATGTTATTGCTAGCCTTGTAATCCTCCACGTCTTGGAATAATCACACAGTTCTTATTTTTGTTTGTACCATGATGAAACTTCAAAAGACAGCTTGGTCAGAAGACTACAGAAACCCATTATTTGTGTTAGATGTGTCCAACTTATATCCATCACTGTGTGGAAGGTTTCTTACTAAACATACTAAAAGTGTGTTTAATAAAAACAAACCAAAATACTAAATGTATGTACTTATAGAGATATAAATCTTTCAAAATGATGCACAGAAAGTAAACATTTAAAAATTTTCTTCTGGTCATTTTTCTTTGTAGAACACCATTTCACTCTCACACCTACAGGGTTATTACAGTCATCCTGCCCAGCGTGAAGTTACAATTTCCTATTCTCAAAAAAGACATGGATATGTTCAATTTTTTAAGAAAGCGTGAATATATTTCTTTTGAAACATTTCAATCGATTTCTGAAAGTTAAAATTACTCACTTTTAATTTAACAAACAAATAAAAAAAAAAAAAAACAAGCAAAACCCCACACCTTCTCCTTCTTAAAAAATGTGCCCAGCACTGTAAGGTCCACAAACCTCCCCAAACTGATTACAAAACTCAGTTAGACCAGCACAGAACTCTGACAAAGTTCAAAATACAAGCAGATATAAACTCTTCTGAAAATAAGAGTTGAGGTAGTATGTGACTAGCATTTAGGAAAAAAAAATAAAAACAATAACAGCAAACAAAACAAACCACAACAAAAAGAAGTAAAACACTGGACAACCAGAGAGATGAGCTTACCTTTAAAGAAAGAGAGGAACAAGGATGACCAGAGACATAGTGCAGAATAAACAAATCCCAAGCACTTTTCTGCGAGCATTGTCAAAATAGGCTGGCTATTCTTCCTGAGCAGAGGGTAAAGGAGGATGAGGTCTTGAAGACAGCCTGCAATGACTGACGGATTTGGCAATTACGGTAATAAGGCACCAAACCAGCTTCCCACCAGGGGAGAGAAGTGCATTTGCTCATGTGCTTCTCCAGTCCCCAGGAGCCAGATCAGCTGAGTGCTTGGTCACCAAATCCAAACAAAAAGGTTACATTCCTTTGGACTCACACTGACAGACACACGGGCTCTTTCCTTGGTCAGGAGCAAATGCTATTGATCCCTGCACACAGCTGTGTATATACTGCGAAAAGGGGGAGTGTGCTGCCTCGGAGATGCTTTTCACATCCCCACAGATTGTACCTAACTCGAGACAGCACGTCTGCAGTGCTTCCAGTGCTTGCACTCGAGTGCCTCTAGAGCTGTTTCCCAGAGAAATGAGTTTGTGTCCCTCTCTGCTCTCTCCCAGCTGCCAGGGCAACTGGCAGCAAGCACCTGTGGCATGGATCCTCTGCCACACACCTGCCCTTTCTCCCAGTAGAGGTGGTTGGGGAGATTCCGTCATGCGAAAGATTGGAAAGATGAAAACAGCCAGACTCCTGTCCTTTTCGATGCAGCTCTTCCTGCAATCACTTCCACCAGATGCAGGGAACTGCTCTGCGTGACCTCTTCCTCAGCTGCCCACTGCTGCTGGCTCCCCACTGTAGGAATTCCCACATAACCTGGATCCCCTTCCTCCTCAATCCCCACAATTTTATTCACTAGCCAAGAAAAAGCAAGGAAAGTCAAAGTCTCGAATAAATGATATTAATCATTTGGGCCTTTATTTACTACTTTGAGTGCTCTGCACACTCACCCACTTCTCTTTCCCTGCAAAGGGGCAGGATTTGCACTTCCCCTGTTGAACTTCTGAGGTTCCTGCCTCGGCAGGGTACAACCTTGGGCTTCAGGGAGTAGCACCAAGTCCTGATTCCAGGCAGAAGGAGGGATTGGGTGCTGCTGTAGCGAGGCTGCACTGGGCAGTGCAGGCTGATAGGAGAGAAGGGCCCTGGGATGTGAGGCACAGGATGTGCTGAGGAGGAGGAGGAGAGGTCTGGAGGGATGAGCGCTGCGGCACTGGCTGGCCCTGGAGACCCCCGGCTGGAAACATCTGCCCTGGGATCAGTGGCAGAAATGCAAATCTCGTTATCTTGTGAAAGGATCTGCCAGCATCAACATCCCACCTCTTCTGGCCAGAGTCTGCATCGATGCCCCCCCTCTCTCCCAGAAGTGATCCAAGGGGCCATAATGCCCAGGGCACAAGCCAGGAAATGGTAGCCAAAACACCAGAAAAAGGGTAGAAAAGAAACACAGCTGGGCAGAGCAACTCTACTGGCATTGTTAGTAATACTGAGAGGTTTTCTGCAGTTTTCATGCTCTCCTTTTCCTCTATTAAATGCTAAATAGACCTGGGGCCTAGGACCACAAGGGGCTGGTGTGGGCCTCAGCTGCAGCCTGGCACAGGTTTAGCTGGCTCCTGATACACCCTCCGATGGTGGGGTGGCTTCCTGGGGGCCTGGGAAGGGTCCTCAGAGCTGCTGGCCCTCCTTTTCAGGGCTGGCTGAGGCCTCCCAGGTGAGCATTCGCTGCCTCAGCTCCATGTGGAGGGGCCAGGTACAGCCTCCCCTCGGTTCTCCTGGGCCTCTTTTTGCTCCACGCAGATGGAGGGGGAGAGGGAGGGGCAGAATGGGGACAGCTGGGAGCCCCAGGAAGGGCTGGCCTTGGGAGACACCCTTTGGAAGCACAAGGGCTAGAGGCAGTAGCGGAGCTGTCCTCCCACCCCCCAGATGAAAGGCTGTCCCCCCAAAGGACCACCCGATGTTGGGCCTCCCCCTGAGCCCGTGTGTGATGGTGTCACCGAGCTGCTGGGCAAAGCTCTTTGTGTGCGTGTGTGTCCTGCAGCAGCTGGAACAGAGCCCCCTCATCCAGGCCAGAGTAATGCAGGTTGCGTGGGATGAGTTGCTGCTCTGCTGCTGCTTCCTGGCATCCTCAGAGAGCTGCCCCAGCTCCTGATGCAGCCACAACAGCAGGCAATGGAGGATAGCTACGTAAATACAGAAGAGGGACACTCAAATGTGCTTGTGGGAGACACTCACTGGACTCCAGGGCAGCGGCCCCAAGGCTGATGGCAGGGCTATTGCAGGGCTGTGGAGACTGGGGGCAGCTGGGTGTCCTGGAGCTCCTGCTCTCAGGTGGAACACATCCAATGGTGCCCCACGGGGTGGAATGACATGCTCCAAAAAGTTGTCATACCCCTGCATAGGATGGAGGTCACCCTCCTCTTCCAGAAAGGACACTCATGTTTGCTCTCAGCCCACTGCAGGGTGCACACTGAGCAGAAGCAGTGGAGGCCTGGCAGTGTGGAGCTGGCCTCCTCCATGCTGTCCCAGCAGGTGGGAAGCAGTTGTCCGGCTCTGTGGCCTTGCTCTCCATGTGCTGCAGTGGGCTGGGGGCAGCTGGGGATATAGAGCTTCTTCGCTCCCTCTCAGTGATGCTGCAGCAGTGAATGTCACGCTAGAAAAGTGAGGCCACAATTGTTGTCTGGCCTTGGGAGGGATGGAAGGAATACCCAAGTCTCTCATGAAGGAAACCCTCCCAGCTCCCTAGGGTGAGTTTTCTCCTTACAGATCACCTCTGCTGTCAGGAGAGCATCTCCTGAGTATCACCTTGGCTGCCTAAACCTAGGCAGGGCCTGGACATCATGCCTTGTGCACAAGGTTTTCCTCATGACAGGCTTGGAAACCACTTTTCCTCTCCCAGAGATGGAGAGTTCCACTTGGAAACAGACTTAGGGGGGCTCAGGCTGAATGTCATCGATCTTGCAAGAATGGCAAATGCATTTACATTATGGCTCCCTGCAGTCACAAGATCCGGTGCTATAATTTCCCACTTTAAACCTGCAAATGCAGACAGCTGGAATCCAGGGGTTTTGCAGTCCAGCTGTTTTCTGCACTCCTCAGCTCTTAATCATATTCCAAAATTACACTACAAGTGAATTCTTGGAACTGCCTGGGTTGCTTTGTTCCACAGCCATTTAACCATGTCCTGTGGCAAAAATGAGCACGTCTTACTACCAAATATACACCCTGGAGTCTAGGAAATCATACTGGAAAATCACCATTTCTGACTGTGGTCCTAGGAGGCAGTGGTGGAGAGATACCTACGGATGCTTTTTGTATCACAAGCTTGGAGCAAGGGAAACTGGGGTTCAGCTGTAGTGCCAAGGAGTTGGGCTGCAAGCTGTGATGGGGACTGAGGATACCCCACAAACAAGTTTTCTCCCTCAGAAATCATGAGAAGGCACTGGCACTACAAGGCAGACCACGTAAGTTACTGCACTCCTGATCTGGAACCAGGCTCGTTGCTGGGCTCACTGATCACATGGCCTGCAGGTGTGGTTCCCTGCTCACAGGCCTGACAAGAAAGGAAACAGCAAGAGCAAGATCATTGTGCAAGTCTGTGTGGCACTTCCTCTCTCTCTCTGTCATGTTCATTTGAGAGTGCTGCCACTGCAAAAGGCTTTCACAGAGATGATAAAACCAGGCCCTTTTGGCTGAGATCGTGCAGGAAGGATGCATACCTGCCCCTCAGCTCTGGGTTCATTGCTCAGCCTCCCTCTCCTACAGAAGCAGGTAACATGAACACAGAAACCAAGCTTCTTCACCAAAGAGTTGCGAGATAGACATTTTCTTTCCCTGCCATTTCCCACTGTGAAAAGCTGGGATGGACTACTGAAGGCTGAGGCTTACAGAGAATGTCTGTATCAAAGCTCTACCTACCAGTTCAGGCGGTGCTCTGACCGTATGAAGTTATGTGACTTGTTCCTCCTCTTCTTGGGATTGCTTCTTCTGTTGATCACAGCACTAAAACTCCGCAAGTTCGGAGCTGGGCATCCCTCCTCTACGGCTGGGTGTGCCTGCAGGTGGGCTACCTCTGCTCTTTCCACCACCTCTCCCAAAGCTTGCTGCTGAGTTTGCCCAGTCAGCCCTTCCAGCACTGGCTTGACTTTCAAGCCAAACTCCAGAACCTCAGGCTGGGAGCCAACACGGATAAAGGACAGTTGGCCACAGTCACACTTTACAGCTGAGCAAGGAGAAAAGAGGATAAAGAAAGCCCTTATTCTGCAGGTAGCACTGCAAAGTGCTTTGCCCCAGGATTAGTTTAAATAAGTCAAAAGTGATCTGGAGAAGTCTCAGGCAAAGGTGTCAAGTGCTGGAGTGGATATGCTCTGCAGGGTTTCCCCATGCATGTCAAGCTGTGGAGACCACTCATTGGGTTCAGCTCCTCTCCAAGGAACGTGGATGGCAGAGCTGTGCTAAGATCCCTCTGATACAACAGGTTACACACGCAGATGCCAAGTAACCTTCCTTGTGGGGCTGGGGATGCTGGAGGACAAGGCACTGCAGGATGTGAACACCTGGCTGGCTAAGCAGGGAGCTAGCTGGGGTGATCCCAATGCTGCTGGGTGCTGGGATGGGGAAGCTGGGGAAGTGAGCTGTGGAAGGGTCTCCTCTGGTGCAAAGGGAGGCAGATGGTGGCAGGAGGGTCTGCATGAACTGGGGATCTTATGGCTCCTCATTCCTGCAGGCAGCAGAGGTCCCATGGGTGGGTGAGGTGGAAATGGAGCTGCACCTGAGTTCTGAATACTCCAAAGGCACACGGAATAGAGCTGCACAACAAAAGCAAGGTGTGAGGAGCTACAGCAGCGCCAGTGGCCCTTTGTATCCAAGGGCTGAGGCTCTGACACTTCAGTCCCTGCTCTGTCCTTTCCCCACATAGGAGGAAGAGATGCAAGAGGTGCAGGGCAGCATACCAGAGTTCAGCTGGGAAGATTTCCCCTCCTCAGCCTATGTGCAATGGCCAGGGCAGTGACTGGAGCTCACCCGTCTCTGGCTCATCTGCATGGGCCCGAGGAGTGTGTGTGGCAGTGGGGAGCACCCCTAATGTTGGAGGTACTCATTCAACCAAGCCCTATGGACTGCAGCAAGCAGCAGATGGAGCAGGAAGCTGCAGTGCTGGGGTCTGGCAGAAGCTCAGCTGGTGAGAGAGCACTGCCAGCTCCCACCCCGCTGGCAGGGGTTCGCTGGGGACAGAGGTCTGTGCAGTGCCCAGCCAAGAGGGCACCTGTGCTCGTGTGCAGCACTCCTGGAGTCAGCCCTGGCCATCCTGACCACTTGAGAATGCTCAAAAAGCATCCCTGCTCTCTATTGAGCTCTGGGTGACTGACATGCTGTCTGAGATGCAGCATCACTTTGTGTCATGGCCATGCTGGCCCCAAACTCCATTCCTCCCTCCTGGCCTCACCTGCCAAGGGCAGCTGGAGAGACAGCTTCTCCTGATGCCTGTGTGGGGTGGTGAGGAGGCAAACGAGTCCTTCCCCTAGTTTGAAGGAGAATCACAGAATAAAAGAATTGTTAGGGTTGGAAGGCATCTCTGGAGATCATCTAATCCAAACCCTCTGCTGAGGAGAGGGTCACCTAGAGCAGGAACATGCCCAGGTGGATTTTGAATGTCTCCAGAGAGTAAGACTACGAAACAGCTGGTGGATCCCAGGACAGAGCCCTGAAGCATGTGCTCCAGAGGGACATGAGGACTGGGGATCTCCATCTCTGTGCCTGTTCTCCATCTCTACATTCCTTTCTCCATCTCAGTGTTCATCTCCCTCTGTCCCTTTGTCTTTCCTGCTCTCCATCCCTTTGCTTCTGTTTCTGTCCCAATTCCCGGTTTTCTCACTCGGCCACTCCGTTCTGGTCACGTCCCGATTCCCTCTCTCTCCCTCTGTCAGGCCCTCAGACTTTCTTTTCTACCCTTTTCTTTTTCCACCTTCTTAACGCCTTTCTTTTCCTGCCCCCACACGTCTTTCTCTACCCTCGCCTCCCTTGTGCTCTCCCCACCTCCTCCTCCTCCTCCCTTCCTTTTCCCTATTTCGCTCCCTCTGCACCAAGTTTTGCCTCACCCTTTTCCTCTCCCGGTCCCTCCCTTCCCCTCCCGGCCGCAGCGTCCCCGCTGCCGCGTCCCCCCCGCCCCTCTCCCTGTCCCTCACAGCCGCCGGGGCTGTTTCTCCCGCCCTGCGCCGTCCCCCTGAAGCCCGCAGCGCTGCGGGCACCGCCGGCGGCCCGTTCGCCCACCGAGCCGCGGCCGCAGCCCTGCGCTCCGTGCCCGCCGCCCTGCGCTCCGTGCCCGCCGCCCCGGCCCAGCGGGGCCGCCCTCGCCTCCGCCGGCGCCTCCCCGCGCCTCGGCAGCACCGGCACTGCCCGGCCGCGGCCGCCTCTGCGCGCCCCTCCCGAGGCCGGCGCCGCCCGGAGCCGCTCCGCGGCGCCCTCGCTCCACCGCTGCCCGTCCGCCAGCGCCCGGGGCCGGGCGGGGCCGGGCGGGGCCGGGCGGAGACGACACCTCCCACCGCGGGAGGTGCGCCCGCCTGAGGTGGCGCCGGGGGAGTCGCCCGTGCCGCGGCGGGAGCGGGCTGAGGGGCTGAGGGAAGGTGGCGGGATGCGCTCTGCCGGCGGGAGCTGGGGGAGCGGCACAGCCACCCCCGGGGCATGTCCCGGCAGCAGTGAGCCAGCCCAGCCCTACGCCTGAGCGCTCGGTTTAAAAAAGGTTCCCCCACACTAGCTCGGGGTGCTTGGTGATCCCCCGGCGCACCCAAACTGAGGTCCTGCTGCCTCCAGAGAAGTCCGAGCCAGTCTCCAGTGCCTGTTTGAGACCCCCGAAGACTCAGCTTCACAGAATCACAGAATATTCTGAGTTGGAAAGGGACACACAAGGATCGTGGAGTCCAACTCTTAGCCCTGCACAGGACACCCCAAGAGTTACACCATGTGCCTGAGAGCATTGTCCAAACATTTCTTGAGGCTTGGTGCTGTGACCACTGCCCTGGGGAGCCTGTTCCAGTGCCCAACCACCCTCTGGGTGAAGAACCATTCAGAGGTTCGTTCAGTAACATCGCCGCCTCCCCTCATGTGGAGGTTGTAACTGCAGTGATGTCTTTCCTCAGTCTCCTCCAGGCTGAACAGCCCCCAGCTGCTCCTCACAAGGCTTCCCCTCAAGGCCCTTCACCATCTTCGTAGGCCTCCCTTGAATGCAAAAGCTTCAGGGCCACAACTCCCTACCTGACTAAACCTAAAGCCCCCCAAGTTTCCCCATGGACCCAAAACACCCCCAATGCTGCTTTGGCCCCACCCCAAACCTTCCTCAACAGCTTCCCCTCACCTCCCCACACCCTCCTTAATTGCCCCCAGACAGCCCCATCCCTGTGCCAGCAGCCAAAACCCTCCAAGTCCTGCTCCAGGGTGCACCCATTCATCTCCACATCCTACCTGAGTGTTATCCCCAGTATGCTCCAATCCTGCCACAGTACACTGCTTCAAGGCCTCAAATACCTCCAAATTGTCCTCTGAGAGTGTCACTAAGATGCCACGAATACTTACAAACCCTACCCAAGTACCCCCAAAAGCCCCCGAGCCTGTCCCACAGCCCACAGAAATTCCAAGCCCTGTTTCTGAATCCCTGAAAGCCCTCATCCAAAGAGCCACAAACTCTAATTTTCCATGAACACCACACAAACCTTTCTGTAGGCCACAAAACATCCACAAATCCCTCCTACAAGCCACCAAACAACCCCAAACTTGTCTATGGTCCCCCAAAGTTGCCAAACTCTGCCTCCAGGTCCCCAAAGGCTTCCACCAAACACCTTGCTCTTGGGCCAGGCATACATATAAAATCAAATCAAATCAAATCCAAGTGCTCCCAAAGACTCATATAAATGGCCCCAACAACCTAAATCCTGCTCCCAGGCTTTCTCAGACCTCTCCCAGGCCATGCCAAAGGGTCCAAACCCCAAGTAGGTCCAACCCCCAAGTCCCAAATACGCCCAAATATGCCATAGTTCATGCTGGCTCGAAGAGATTTCAAATCCTGCCCGATTTTATTCAAAGAACCCAAAATTTGTCCATGACCTTCAAGCAAACCTTGACATACTTCAAGACAGTCAGAAACCTCCTCAAAATCCTAACCTAAGACCCCGAATCCTGCCACAAAATCTCCTAAAAATGATGGAAGTACCACACCATCCCCAGTGACACTAAAGACTCCAAACCTGCTTCATGCTCCAAAACCCCTGTGGTGTGTCCCAGGAACCTGAAAATGCTTTCAGTTGACACTCCTCCTTCTGAAACCCATGAGCAGGTTTACTGAAGACCCTCCAAACCTGCCCTATGGCTCCCAAATGCCTGAAAGCCTGTTTCAGGTCCTTCAGAGATGTTTTCCAACCCCCAAATCCTGTTCTAGGGTCCTGCAAAGCCTGCCAAAATGCCCGAAGGACCTAAAACCTGCCCGGTGCTGGGAAAAAAATCCAATGTACAATAACGCCCCCCCTGAAAAACAGAAAACCCCTGGTTTCACAAGCTACTGAGATTTCCCCCAAACACCCCTGAACTCTGTCCCAGCATCCCCAGTCCCCCAAGACTTTGTGCAAGATCTCACAGACACCCCTTCACCCTGCTTAAGGTCACTGTAAGACTTCTCCAAAACCTGACCAAACTGCTTCAAGTACCCCATTTGCTCCACACAGTGCCCAGATATTCCCAGTGTCCCACAGTCCTGCCCAAGAGCTCCAAATCACCACCAAAACCTGCTTCAGGATAATCAAATACCTGAAACCCTGTCTCAGACCTGACACTGGACCATAGACACTGCCAATGGCATGCCCCCACAACTCTCAAAAACCTACTCCCAAGGCAACAACACAAGCCCTGCTTCTAAGCTTGCCTACCCTCAAGACTCCCAGACTTTGCACCAGAGTTCCAAAGCCCCCACTATACTGGTCCAAGTGCCCCAAATACTTCCAGACCCTGCTTCAGGTCCTTTAAAGCCCTCCTTCAACCTGACACATAGTCTGCCCCAGTGTTCCCAAAGAGGCCCACACAAATTGCCCAAGTACCTACATCCCAATCTGGCATCAAGGTCCTGAAACACCTCAATAACTTGCTTCAGGACCCTCAATGACAGTCCCTAGACTCTGCCCAGCTGTCATCAGTGGGGTCCAAACCCTTCTCCAGGCCCCCTAAATACTGGAAAACCTTTTCCAAGAAACACCAAATACTCCCAAATCTGTTCCTAAACCCCAGAACACCCAACCCTGCTTAATGCCCCCTGGAGACTTCCCTCAAACCCATCCAAATCATATCCTAGGCCCTGCAAAGATCCCAAACAGTGCCCAAATGTCTCCAGAGATGTCCAACCCTGCCACTGGTCACCAAAACCTGTCCCAGCACCTCTCCCCGTATCACCCAAAACACTGGACTCCAGGGCAGTGGCCCCAAGGCTGATGGCAGGGCTTTTGCAGGGCTGTGGAGACTGGGGACAGCAGGAGTTCCTACTCTCAAGTGGAACACATCTGATAGTGTTGCAGGGCAATGGAGATGGGGGCAGCTGAGTGCTTACAAGATCACATATCAAATTTTCCATAAATATGATACATTTTCACATCTCCCTGCAGGGGAGACTACTTGGGCAGAGCCCACCAGGCCATAGCAGCAATGCATGTTCCTGCAGTCATTTGTGCTGACTGGGGAGCAGCTGTATCAAAACATCTTCTCCTCCTTTTCTACTCCCATTATGTCCCCACAGTAGAACTACACTGAGATTAGCTCAGTGGGTTAGAGCATATTGCTAATAACACCTGTGTTGTGGGTCTCATACCCATATGGGCCGTTCATGTAGGAGTTGGACTTGATGATCCTTCTGGGTCCTTTCCAACTCAGATTGTTCTGTAATTCTGACTCAACATGGACTGAAGTTTTGGCCACTATTTTTGTTTTAGATTTTTATTTTTTTTTTCAAAATTCCTTTAAAAATGAAGGCATTCACCAGTGAGTACAGCTTCAGAGAGATGAGTTCAGGTAGCTGTACTCACCTTCAGCCACTGGAGGTGGCTGTCCTACCACTGATGGCCAGGCTGCTGCAAGGCTATGGAGACTGGGGGTAGCTGGGTGTCCTGGAGCTCCTGCTTTCAGGTGGAACGAACACATCCAGTGGTGCCCCACAGGATGGAACGACATGCTCCAAAAAGTTGTCATCGCCCTGCACTGAGTGCAGTATGGAGGTCACCCTCCTCTTCCAGAAGGGACACTCGTGTTTGCTCTCAGTCCACTGCAGGGTGCACACTGAGCAGAAGCAGTGGAGGCCTGGCAGTGTGGAGCTGGCCTCCTCCCTGTTGTCCAGGCAGTGGGACAGCAGTTGTCCAGCTCTGTGGCCTTGCTCTCCATGTGCTGCAGTGGGCTGGGGGCAGCTGGGGATGTTGAGCTGCTCTGTCACTGGTGCTGCAGCAGTGAATGTCACGCTAGGAAAGGAAGAGAAGCCACAGTTGTTGTCTGGCCCTGAGCGGGGTGGAAGAAATGCCCAGGTCCCTCATGAAGGAAACCATCTCAGCTTCCCAGGGTGAATTGTCCCCACGCAGATCACCTCTCCTGCTGCAAGAGTGACTCCTGGGTGCCCTGGCTGGGGAAAACCTCCAGTGGCTCTGGGGCTGGGCATGGAGACCTGCACCAAGCAAGCTCTCTGAGCACGACACCAGAAACTAACAACAGCCTTGCACAATAATCCTTTCTGGCTGTGGCAGCAATGCTTTTTACTTAATAAAAGCCTTTGGGAAGCTCTGTCTGGCCCACAGGAAGTGCAACTACCAAAGGATCTGTGGAGTGATAAAATGATAGGCTTAGGCAAGGGATGCTTATGCTACAACTGTTTGATTGTCCAATGTGTAAGTTGCTCAGTTTTATTTAAGTCTTTTCTTTCTCCTCCAAGCAAGGTGATATAGCACTCATTTTGGGGGAGGCCAAGGGATAAGCTCCCTGAGCTGCATTAGCATGCCCCATCCCTGCCACATCTGGAGGATCAGTGGGATTGTGCCAGAGGTGCATAATCTCTGTTCTTGGTGCAAACAGTAGGCACCAAGTCAGAACATGCTGAAAATGCTACCTTCCTTCGCTGTGGGCAAGGAGGGGCCATGGTGATGAAGAGTGCTGGGCAAGGCAGGAAGGGGAGAGACAAAGTAGTGTGCATGCAAGGGCTACCCATCCAAATGGAAAGGCTGCTGCTTGGGCCACAGGAGCCTTGACCACTGTGGAGGAGTGGTCTGGGGAGCTCCGGGAGATCTGGGGACCATCAGTAGATGAACAGCTTTAGGCTGCCTCCTCAGCTCCCTTGCAGGCTTGCTGGTGGGACTGGTCAGGAAGCCAAAGTCCCTGGAAACACCTTCAAGACACCTGCAAGCTCCTACAATACTGTGAAGCCACCATCTCAGGAATGAAGATCTCCTTGGGGAGCAGAGCCCCTTTGCCCTTCGCCCTGCTGATGGGTGGGCAGCCCACCCATCCATGGATGGCACTGGGAGATCAAGGCCTGCCTCTCTCAAGGTCCAGCCAACTTAAGCAGCCCCAGCCTGAATGCTTTTGGCTTGTCAGTGCTGACACTGGGTAGTGCCCGACAGCAACCTTTCCTCAGCCCCTCCATGTCTCTCCTTTGTATAGCGCATGCTTCCAGAAACAGCAGCCTCTTAGTGGGACCTCCCCTTTTCCCCTCACAACTTGTTTGACAAGGAAAAAGCAGGCTAAGATGAGCTTGCACAATGGGTACAGCGGCACCTCTCACGGCTTCTTTTCCTCTCAGTGCCAGACAAGGCTCAGTGAAGGCTGTCAGCTTTCTCAAAGTTTTCTGAGAACATGACCTGCAGCAACCTCCACAGGGAAGTGGCACAGAGACCTGTGAAGGCAGGCTTGGAGTCAGCGGAGCAACCCAAACCAGGACTGATGTCTGAATACATGTTTATTTATCTATCAGTTGGGGAACTGAAGATTAACAACACAGTTCTTGCTAAGGATTCATTCTTGCATGATACTCATCATATCTCCATTTCCCACCCTGGGGGTATGCAGCTCAATAAATTTCCAGTACCAGGAAACAGATGTCACTTATTTAGCTGGCTATGGTCCTTAGTGGCTTACAGTCATAGAGGTGATGGTGATGAGATCCAAAAGCTCTTTGAAAAGAGAAGTTAAAATAAGCTTGTCTTAAGTCTTCTGATTTTCCTCTATTGTGCCTGACTTTTTTTATGCTACCTCTCTCCCCAGATTGGGTGGAGGGCTCCTCTGTTCCTCACACTGTTTATCTTGGTTTTACTTTTGCTACTGTGTCGCGTATTCGGAATGTCTCTTGCTTGCTTGTCTTGTGGCAAGATTTAGCTACTTGAAAGCCTTTATTCTGAACCTGCACCTAACTTTGCCCCTTTGTAGATTACACGGTTCACATACTTAACCACAAAGAGTGTCTGGCTGTGCCATCACAGTATTACAAAGTTACTGGATACTGTTTGCAGTACAGTAGTTGAGTATGCTTATACATGTGTTTAAGAAACGATGATATTAGTTACATCCTGCTCAGTACATTTATAATTCATGGGTAACTCAAACTTTTGCTTAGGTTATACGATTCCCTAACTGTGTTACAATGTGAACCTCAAGATGCCATGGACGGTGTGACGCATGAGGACTCTTGCAGGATGCAACTATAGACCCAAAACTCAACTCCAACCAATCTAAAGATGTTCTAGAAAGTTTCATACCTCATGGTGGGGAAGGTGCAACCAGATATCCTCCACAGACCACGTGGTATGTCAGACGCTGGAACCTCATGGCATCATTTGGAAGCTGTAAAGAGAGATCCTAGAAGTCTGAGTCCCATGGTGCTTGAGTTATGAGAGGGGATTTGAGGTACAGACTCACAGTGAGTTAACCACACGTTTATCTTCTTCAACTGAGTGTGGACTCACAGATGTGCTTCTGACAGGGCATTTTCAGTCCAGTCTCCTTCTCACAGCAGGGCCATCCCCAGCAGTAGGTCTGTCACCATGCCTTTGCCAATGCCATTGTTCCTTGACAGTGATTCATACAGCCTGGATTCAGTAAGAAATGGAAGAAGAAAGTAGAAAAGAAAAAGAAAGAGAAAATATCTTGAAATGTGGGGAGAATTGGTGGTGGTACTAGGTGGTAGTAGTAGTAAAGTGGAACTTTGCTGATTGAAAGTGGGTCTACCTAGATTTCTCCTTACAAGGAAGCACACCAAAAGTTCCAAAGGTAATTTTTAGCTAAAAAGAGTAGCTTTCAAGCAGGGAGCAGGAAGAGGTGATTTTTCTGGGGAGCAGAAAGTAGAGAGAGTCATTTTTAAACAAAGTGATAAGGCAGAATGGAGAGGAGGAAGCAGATCCAAGACTCTACAGTTTCTTCCTCCAGGCATGCTTTGTTATTGCCTCTCTTTCCAGGGTGATACACTTGATTAAATTACTCTCTTCTATTAAAAGAGCATAATGTAGCAAACTAAATAATGCCTAAATCCATCATATGTTAATAAAGCCTAGAGTTCCTGATGTAGCATCACAGAAGGTGTACATGAGGGAAACATATCTAGACAGAAAGTACTATAATAGATACTTCAGCTAGTTAATATTTTTTCTCTTATCCTTCTGGACTCCTTTTCCATGAAGCCTCACAAGAAAGCTAGTTTTGTTCTGGTTCTGCAGCACATGCGGTTCCAGGATGTATTTTCTTCCATCCCAATCCACCACCTGACTCAAGCCAAAATTATTGAGGGAACTACCTGCAAAGCAGGCACAAATGTAAAAATACTGCAGCTGTGAGGACCACTTGTTTTAAACGTGTGATAAGAATTCCTTAGGGAGTTTTAAAGCACTAGTTGCTTCTACTTACTTAAAAAGAGAGCACCAATGTTACTTTTGTTGGTTTTGGGGTAATTTACAGTGTAGGCAGCCTCCATCCTAACTCCAGCCAGGGTGATCCAATCCTGTAGAAGCAGACCTTTCTGTGTTGGTATGTAAATAGCTGTGGAGGTAATGTGGAATTTGCTGGCATGTCCGCTGTCCCTCTATGAGAGGTGCAGCATGGGAGGAGTACTGGACACTGACAACTCATCCTATTGCAGAACAAAGGACCTCACCTGAGTCTCTCTGCAGGCCTCTAATGAGGTGAATGTACCCATAGGAGCATCCTTGGGGCTGTTTTTCTCCAGTACAACAGCAGGCCTTGTCCTGCCTCTTTTGCCGTCCTAGCACCAACAGCCAAGTCTGCCCAGACAGGGTGCACAGGAACTGCTTGGTCTTCAGAAGGCAGCGTACCTCACCCCCAGGCTCATGTGAACTTGAGCCAGCCCCATGCAGTCCCTGGGGGAGGCTACAGAAGGAGAGCAGAGAGAGCTGGCTGTTCTAAGGGGATGCAGGAAGCCAACACCCCTGTGTTATCAAGCAGAGTTGCTCTAGGGTCAAGTGGTGTAAGTGTCCTGCAGAAAGCTCTTGGATTGTGCTGCTCCAGGGGCCTCAAAACTAGCTGCTGTGCAAGAGGAACAACCTTTCTTCCAATGGAAGTATTGTCTGGGCATCCACTGCGTGCCGGATGGCAAGAATCATTGAATTGTTTGGTTTAGAAAAGACCTTAAAGATCATCTAATTCCAATGCTCCTGCCCATATCCCCCTACCATGGTCAGGGACAACTTCAAAGGGACCAGGTTACTCAGAGCCCCATTAAACTTGGCTTTGAATACTTCCAGGGCACCCACAGATTCTCTATGCAACCTATTCCAGTGCCTCACCACCCTCACAATAAGGAATTTCTACCCAATATCTATTCTAAACCTGCACTCTTACAGTTTAAAGTCATTCCCTCTTGTCCTGTTGCTACATACCCTTGTAAGAAGTCCCTCTCCAGCTCTCTTGTAGGCTCCATTCAGGTACTGGATGGTGGTCTAAGGTCTCCCTGGAATGTTCTCCAGGCTGCACAGCCCCAACTCTCTCAGCCTTTCCTCATAGCAGAGGTGCTCCATCCTTCTGATGGCCTTCCTCTGGACTCCCTCCAACAGGTCCACATCATTCTTAAGCTGGGGAACCCAAAGCTGGAAGCAGTGCTTCAGGGGTAGTCTCACAAGAGCTGAGTAGAGGGGGAGAATTCCCTCCCTCGACCTGCTGGCCACTCTGCTTTTGGTGCAGCCCAAGATTCCATTGGCTTTCTGGACTGCCAGTGCACATTCCTGGCTCGTGTTGAGTTTTTCATCAACCATCACCCCAAGTTCTTCTCCGCAGGGCTGCTCTCAGTCACTTCTCTGTCAAACCTGTGGGTGTGCTGGGATTGCTGGGAATCAGGTGTAGGATGTTGCACTTGGCCTAGTTGAACTTCATGAGGTTTGCATTGGCCCACCTCTCAGGCCTATCAAGGTCCCTCTGGATGGAATCCCTTCCCTCCAGCGTGTCAACTGCCCCACACAGCTTGGTGTGTCAGCAAACTTGCTGAGGGTGCCCTCAATGCCACTGTCTGTGTCACTGACAGAGATGTTGAACAGCACCAGTCCCAGCACCAACCCCTGAGGGTCACCACTGATCACTGGTTTCTAAGTGAACATCAAGCAATCGACTGCAGCTCTTTGAGTGTGACTGTCCAGCCAATTCTTTATACATCAAGTGGTCCATCCATCAGATCCGTGTCTCTCTGGTTTGGATACAAGGTTGGCATCTGGGACAGTGTCAAATGCTTTGCACAAACAGGTAGATGATGTCAGTCACTCTTCCCTCATCAAACAATGCTGTAACCCCATTTTTGGATGTTTGACTTCAGCTGTGGGGCCACTGCAGGCTGCAGTTGCAACCAGCTATCTAACTCCTTCTCTGTCTCCCTGATGTTATGCAGTCTTCTCACCACCCCATGTAGCTCAGCCACCTGCTGCAGGAGGTGCATCACGCGGACACACATTTTTCAAGCAGGTTTGCTGCCTCTCCCTACAGCAGTTCTGTCTAGGTGGAGGCAGCAGGGAAGATGGTGCAGACCCTTCAGGCACAACAAGATTGTTCATCCCTACCTGTTTCAGAGGGCTCCTCTTTGATCCACTGCTGTGATGGGACTAGTTGACCTTTATGTCCCTCTCCTTCGACTTTACAGAAACAGAAGGGCTCTGGTGAGACCAGACCACATCCAGGACAATTCACCTTTGCAGCAGGCTTTCTGCACTTTTCCAGTGACTCCTACAGGTTCTAGAGGCCTCTGCTGGGGTTACTGGGGTCACAGAAGGCTTAAGGCAGATAGACCACTTCTTTGGCAGGGAGAGGACACAGGTCCAACCCCCCAGCACATCTGGTTCATGCCTTAAAATCAAAATCCCTCTGTTCTCCTAAGATTTCGGGTTCACATTTTCCGTAGGCTTTCTAGGAAAAGACACACCAAAAACTGAGGCGTGAGAGACAGATGAGTTGTGCAGCCTTGAAGAAAGGACTGTACAGAATAAAGTTGATTTCTGCTATGGTGGTAATTACAGACTAGCCCAGGCATTTGAGCCTCTTTTGTTCTAAACATAAAATGTGAAGTTAGCTGGGCCAGCAGGAACAGCTGATGGTGCAAGGCAGGAATCTGCATGAGCTACCTGGTCTCACTGTTAGCAGTGCCATAATGCCTTTATGGGATGCTGTCAGGGTATGACAGACCATATAGCAAAGGAGCAAGCTGCTCCAGTGCACATTAGGAATTCTGAAATAGCCTCACACACCTGAATGTCTGATGTCTGATTAGTAGAGAGAAAAATCTCTCCTTTCAAATCTCTTTTATATGCTTCCATAAAGGTAAGTGTCTTAGCTGGTGCAAAGACTCTCTGCCCAGGGCAATAGATTTTGGAGACATTTGCTAGCAGTATTTCTTTACTCTCTTAACCTATCATTCAAAATGGAGCTAATTTCACACTGTCATTTTGAAGATCCTCACACATCCTCAGTTTGAGCGCAAGTTATTGCACATCAGGCAGATACAGAGGCTTTTAGCTTGTGCTGCATAGCAGATCTGATGCACCCTTGCATCTATAACATACTTTTTAGGGATTGATATAGTGAGAGAAGGTTAATCTTTTCTTAAACCACCCTTTATTAAAAAACATAAACATTTGTAAATATATAAAATTATAAAGTACCAAGTGCTTCTTGCTTCCCAGTACAGTAGAACTCAAAAGTGGCAGGTAAATTTGGTGTTAATCTGTTTGGCGTGTTAGTTGCAGGAGTGCAGCTAGTTTTACAAAAGACAGCTAATCTCATTCCTCTGAGAGGTTTAAACAATTTTGTTTCACTTCGGTTTCAGAATTCCTTCCTTCTCCTTTTGAAAAACATCAGTGCTTACTGGTGAGATCAAGGCTGGAGCTGTAGGAACGAGCAGGCTCCCTAGGAGGATGCAGATTGCAGATGGGTGTTTCGCAAAGGGAGAGCTTTCCAGTTTCTAATGGGGAAGAGAATTCAGGCACTAAGACATCTCCTTTGTACAGTGCTTCTCAGGGAAAGTGCATCCTTGGCACTGGGATCATCCTTTAGCTGGACTGAACAAAGCTAGTCACAGATCCAATTTGCATCAAGATCCCTTAATCAGTAAGTACTGATATTCCTTTGCAATATGCATGGTATGAAGCACTATGAAATCCCAACTATCTAAATTTTTTTACCACCTAAATGTTATAAGGAAAAAATTTCTCAGGTTGTACACGTAGACCTGAACACCAAAACAGGACACCAGACTGCAGTGGAAGTACTGTTAAGAGGAAAAATCCAGTTTTACCCATAGTAATTGCTAGCGTAACTGAACTCCAAATGGGATCTTTTGTGTTACTCCCCATCTCTTATAACACTGATGAACACTTGTCAGTTGCAGAGAGAACTGGAAGGTGTTTGTTGATGTTGTTTCTCACTTGGTCTTCCCTCCAGAGCCCCTAATACCTGTAGAAACTTATGACAAGTCCCTGCACTCTCTAAGAGGTCATCTTTGCCAGTTCTTCTGCCCGTTTTCACCACAGCAGGCCCTGCTGTGTCATTGCCCTAACAGTGAGCTGCCCTCTCAGTTTTCCTCCATAGGACAGCGTCACACTACCCTAATATTACACCAGCAGGTAGGTTCGTCTTCTTGTGGAAAACTTGAACCACTGAAATTGCAGGAGAGGAGGAGAAACAGAAGCCCAAGTGAAACAAGCTTAACCTGAATGTCTCAGCACCTGGCAGGGAACCAGATGGGTGAGGAATGTTGCCATATTTAACTCCTGCTGCTTGCTGGTATTTTCTTTTACAGGCACCACTGCAGGCAAGGCTTTTCTTCTCCTGTCTGTAGGAGAAGACAAAGTGGCTTATTGTAACAGACTTGTATTACAGATCACATACTTTCACTTCCCTGCTGAAACGAAAGGATGCTCTGGCTCCTACTGCCTTTTAGCTAAGAGACACGATCAGATCCAACCTCAGAGTAGAAGAGTTGTTATGCTGCACAAGAACCACAGTCCTTAAACAGAAGTTTTCCACTGGGTTTGTGGTAGGCACAGCTCCCATCCCTCTGAAACCTTCACCCTTGATCCAAGTATATGAAAACAAAAAAATGGCTGAAATATGATGCTCCCCTCCTCTGCAACATTTCTTTAGCTTGAATCAAGTCAGATAAAAATTTCAGTTACATGCATAGTTGTCCAGTCCCACTTTGACCTTTCTGTCAGGACAGCATTTCTTTCAGCCCAGATCCCCAAATAAATGCAAGATTGAGGGGTGCACACCAAAGGTGCCCTTTGCTCTAGTCTTGCTTGTTGTGCAACAGGACCCAGGATATCCCAGTGTGCCAGATGAGCATTGGTCCATGCCCACAGGTCCGAGCCCTTGGTCCTCAGCATCCCCTTTTTGGCCTGCTTAGGATTCAGGAACATCTGCTGTTGCTGTATCTTCTGCCTTGACCAAATCACCACCGATCGTTTCAGCATGGAGTCGCTTGTAGTCCGTGTGGAAGAAGATGACGTAGCAACAAGCCATAGCACTGCAGAGGCCAGCCAGCACCAGCACCGGAGCTGCAGGAAAGGTACACTTTTAGGCAGTGAATCCACAACTCCCCGTGGGTGCAGAAGCCTAGAGGTCAGCTCCCAGAAACTGCACAGTCTGTCTGACTGCCTCCCAAGGGCTACCCCCGAGCACAGGGTGCAGACCACAGGGGGCAATACCACTCTGGTAACAGGCAAACCTTGCTTCGCCTAACACTGGCATAGGAGGAGTACTTAGGAGGAATGTGGAAGGTTTCTAGGACTCCAAATCCTGCGTGACCTCACAGGTTACACCAGTGCACACAGTGTGTTTGTGGGAGTGCGTGTTTCTGTGTAAATGTACATGTTTGTGTGTGTGGTGAAAAACATTACAAAAAAGACTGAATCGAAACACTTGAGTTTCATAAGAGAACAGGTCCTCAAAGGTAGTGCTTCTTGTTATATCATTTGAAAGCAGGTGTAGAAAAAGTTCACTAACTCTTATCTAAGAAAAATTTGTGTTGAAAGAAACTTTTCTGAAGAAAAAAAAAAGTATATCTAAAAGACTATGGAACAAGGCCTGAAAGTAGTTCTCATTCCAGCAGTGTTTCAAACACACACCTCCATGCCTTTCTCCACAGACGTTCCTGCATGTATCAGATCACAAAATGAGTAGGAATGGGTGCCTGTTATGAAGCTTTGATCTCTGACAGCTAGTGGAGCTTGTTCTGGGGAGTTTCTGCTCAGCCAAGCAGCATAGATTTAAAAGATGATGATCAGCCTTTGTTTACAGTGTCCCCAGGACTTGGGGTCAATATTACATAAATATGAACCAGCTGAGAGATCAAGGCCAGGGTTTAGCCTGCAATGAAAACACATTTGTGCTCTCATCTCAGTTGCTGTCTCTTTTTCTGACCAGCTAGGAAAGGAAGGGAAATCTGGAGTAAGTCACAACAAAGCTGTACCAGTATGTTAAAAACACAGGCAGGTGTTTGTGCAGAAGCAAGAGGTCACTTTCAGTCAATGCAGTTGTATTCTTGGCCTCCCACACTGCAAAGCAGCACAGGTTGTGCTACATGGACTGTGTCTTTCTCTTAGAATAGCTGCTTTCTAGCTTGGTAAGCTCCGGTCTCTGCAGGGTGACCATAAGAGTAATTTTAACCCAGAGCGAGCAGTGGCATTCATGGCACCTTAGAGTTTTCCTGTTTTCAATCTTGTAGGCTTGGTTTAGCAGGAACTCCTTGGTAGCAAGGAGTGCACCATCAGATTTGGAAAGGTGGGTAGGAAATACACTATAGCAGGAATCAGCATTGCAGGGTCCCTCACAGTGAGACCTGGAGGAGGGTGGGGGCTACACAGGATGCAACTGAATGTCCAGCATCATTTCCCAAGGACGTACTTACTTGTCCAGTCCAAGGCTCCATCCTGGTCAAGGGCACAGGTGGAGAAGGGATCCTCAGAAACACGGACAGTGAGGGCTTGTAGCAGAATCATCAAAATCACACCTTCAACCTGGCTGTGGGGAGAAGCCAACATGCAGTTATGGCACCTGCCTGACTTATCAGTGCTGCAGACAATCCCAGCTTCCCCAGTCGGAAGGGAGTGAGGCTTCTTTCTGGAGCAGGTTCCTTCTAGCAGAGAAAGCTACTGCTGGATTCCACTGGCCCAGGCACTTGGTTAACTGGCCCTGGCTCACAGGGTGTCCAGGTCAGCCTTTCTGCACATCTCCAGACACAGGGCCAGTGTGGCAGAATCACTATATACTCCCTCTGAAGTCAAGCAGGTGTTGAACTACATCTCTCAAAGAGCTGAGGCTTATTCACTGGGCAGAGACTCGGAAACACCTCTCACTCCAGGACTGAGGATGGAAAAAAGTCATGCTATGACTTCAGCCTCCTCCTTACTCATAGCTGGCTGGCAGCAGCAACAAAATCCACAACCAGTGAGAGACAATAGCCTTCAAAGGCAGTGTCTATTGCCCCTCACTCACTGATGTTTCTTGCTTCTGGAGCTCCACCTGACACAAAAGGTGGCACCAGGTTATTTGTATCACTGATTAGAGCTCCAACAAGTCATTCCTGCTGAATTCTAGAGCAAGCCCTAGGCAGGTAAACTGATAACAGGAAGGACAGTCACTGTCCCATCTGTTGTGACCAGGTGCCCTGGGACTGATGAGCCCCATCTCTCTCAGCAGAGCACTGAGACCTGACAAGTGCCTGTACTGTGATGAGAATGGGTGTGTCTCTCAGGCACACAGCCCTCATGTGCTCCAAAAGATGCTGGACCTGGTTAAATCACACTTAGTGCCAAGCAAGGGCGACCTTCATCTTCCTTCTTGCTTTTCTTGTACCACTTCCACATAATCCTCCTTGCTTTAAAACATTTAGCTCTTCAGCTCTCTCGCTCAGCCAGCCAGCTCCCCTCTTGCCATGGTCACGTTCACAGACACCAGAGAGAAGTTCAGCAGGGTGGCAAGCACTGATGTCCATGCTCTCTTCTCTACCTGCACCCACACCCCTGTGTGTGTGTATGTGTGTGTTTGAACACAAGCTCAGCTGTTAATTGGATTTAAGCTGCCTGCTTACCTTGCAACAAAAATCAGGCCTGTAGACGTGCCCTCTCCCACGGGGTAGGAGCACTCCACAGCCAGCTCCATGGCAATGGGGTAGATGGCAAAACCGAAGAAACCGAAGAGTGAGCTGGTGATGGCCAACATGATGGCCTGATGTCTGAACCGAGAAGCCTGCAGGCAAAAGACACAATAGTCTCAGTGTCAGCACTGTTGCACAGAAAGTCTCTGAACCCATAACCTGCAGGAAGCTCCAAGGCCTCACTGTCTCACCACTACCTTCCCTATCTGTTCCTGAAATCAATTTTTTACCTCCAGGTCTCTAGAGTCAACTAATGGCTACACAGCGGAGAGTTATTTGTTGAATTGAAGCAAGGGGAGGGAGGATTCAGCAGAATTACCTGAAAAGCATTGGTGTGGTTGTACTACTTTAACTTGACATCCTATATAGTAACTTATCAGGAATGTGTTCAGTATACCTCTAGTCACAAGTGAAACACACCCTTTCCTCCCAGTGCAAAGTAACATTTCGGAGGTGCTGTTTGCATTGGGTTACATGTGAGAATTCACTGGATTGCTGCAGCTCAGTGATAAGGAAAATTAGTCAGACTCATGTTTGTAAAACTGGGCTTTTAACATAAACAAAAATACCCCAAAACCCCACAAACCAAAAAGCAAACAAAAAACCACAAAACATTTACAAAACGTGGAGATTAGTTTAGTGTCTAGAACAGCCAATGCTGGTAAAGATGAAGTACTTTGCAGCCACACTGCTGGTACCTCCTTCCTTACTGATGTAATAAATTCCCACAGAGGAACACGAGGTGTCTGTCCTGGCGTAGCTACAGGCCTGGCCCAGCTAAACTGGTAAAGTCAAGAAAAACTCTGTTTGAAATCTGAGTTTGAAGCGGATTTGAATGGGTTATTTTTGTTCTAATACTTTGAACTAACAGTTCATCTGTATGGGATGAAGGTGAAGAAAGGAAGGGGAGGAGGGAAAGGTTTGCTTGTTGCTCCTAACACTGCCTCCTTCCTACTCAGTGCTTTATCTGAGTCCAGGCAATCTGACTTGTATACAGATCATCCTCAAAAAAAATGCTAGAGTACTAAAGGGGGAAATGCAAGGCTTGCTTGAGGCACCTTGGCCTACAGTGACAAAGGCATTGCATTTGTCTGTCTCTTCCAAATGGAGCTACCATCACTGGGATCTTGGCGCAGGGGAAGGTGGGATCACAGCGTACTGAAAGTCTTGATTTTTTCAACACACAAGAGAAATGCACAGCATAAGCCTGCAGGGAAAGCAGAAAGCTGCACCATTTTGGGTCCTCTGCAGTGCTAGCAGTTCCCTGTGTCATGATCAGATTCTTGCTGTATGAAGGCTCCCACTGGCAATGGTTATGCTTGCGTGCAGTACTTGCACTCTAGCACCATGGGTGTAAAGTCTCCAGGTTCTGCATTCCTCTCCTGGCTGAATCCAAGTGTTCTACTTTTTTGCCTCTCTTGTCTTGTCCTCCTCAAGGAACTACTGAAGAACTAGGCACGTAACTAGGTCCTTTCTGCTAATGTTACACTCCCGACACCCACCCTTGTTAAAGGCAGGTGTTGGGAAAACAGGGCATTCTTGTTCATTTTTGTAAGATGGATATTTAGCAGTTCCATTTCCTTTCTGAAAAAATGGCCTTGGGAGTCAGGAAGCAAACATGGTGATCCAGTGTAGGGAAGTAAAACTATGCCAATTTATTTATATCCTGAATCAGTCTCTTTCGGGCTCCACAGTGACTGTGAAATTCTCAGTAAAGGGTTTTTCTTTAAAACATTCCTAGCCCAGAGAGATAATTCCAAAGCATAACACATGGCTTAATAAATACTATGACATCAAATGACCTTGGTTTAAGCTGATGATTTATCAGATGGCAACAGAAATAAGCCCACGGATACGGTGTAATGCAAGGGAGAACTCACCACTGCAAACACAATGCTGGCAAGTGCACTCAGACAGAAACAAATCTTGGTGGACTCTATGAACTTCCTTGTCCGGTCAACATACATGCCTAGTAGGAAAGCACCCAACAAACCACACACTGTGAACAGGGCACCATTCAGGCCAGCAAAATTCTGGAGGGCAGAAGAACAAGTAATGAGAATCTAGAGCAGTTAGAAAAGAGATTTAATGTCACTGACCCATTTGCCAAATGCCAGGGGATCACTTACTGAGGTAGGAAAAGTGTCCTTGCCCGCTGCAGTAGTTGAGGCATTCACAGGGTGCTGAGTAGTAAGTAACAGGGGCCAGGTGCTTCTATCAGTGTGTGGGGACAGCAAGGTGGCAGGACTCCCAAGGGATGACCAGTCTCTGCACACTTGTCAAGGGAGGCTGGGTGTAGAGCAACAGCAGTTCCTGGCATTAAAAATTCCAGCCTGGAGCCACTGGGCTCTTTCAGGGGCAACCAGGTGCTTTGTCCACACTGGTGCTAACAGGTCCAGCTGCCTTGGGACCTGCTGCTGTTTATAATCATCCTCCTGGCCCTTTTCTTACCAGGGACCTGCACTGGCACACCCCACATGTGTTAGATGGGACACATCACCTGGCTGTGTCAAAGCCTAATTAGAGAGGCAGTGAGCAGTAGCTAGGATAGGGTACATGCTCTGTTGCCTGCAGTGATTACCCTTTGTTTGCAATACTTCTTCAGCTCCATAAGAATTCAAATGCAGACAGCAATGCTGAAAGCAGAGCAGCTTTTAACAAATTTGGGTAAACATTTCTGGGATCCTCAGGGGCAGACTGGAAGGAAAGGGTACATGGAATGGTTTCTGTGGGCTAAAGGGGTGGGACAAGCCAGTCACACAGACAAAACCATCATGAGGGACAGAAAGCAAGGCTGAAAAGTTTAAAAGGTTTCCAGTGAAAAACCAATGGTGTTTGCAAACACGACCTGGCTATGGAGCCCTGATTCAGATATTAGACCTGGGAGCTGAAGAGGGGGTGGACAGAGACCAGACACGTAAATGTGCATACATAACATCTGGAGAGGTGTTTTAAGAGGACCTCCATGGCAATACAAGCAGCAGGACTGAAGTGCAGCCTGCTGAGGGGAAATACATGAACTGGGACATCCTCCTGCTATTACAGGGAAAGAGCAGGAGGAGCCAGCTGTGCACACTGTGCTGAACCATAAAAGCAGCACCTGGGCGGTGTCATAGCAAGGATGGGGAAACAGCTGTCACACTACCTGGGACTTCCTCTGCTGCCCTGGCTTCGTGTAAGTCTGTGCAAAGAGGAAAAGCTGCTTGCCTTCAGCTTCACTTTAGGGCCTGCCTGGGCTCCATTCTACTCTGGGATAGGTGACAGAAGGCTGCACAGACATCAATGCTCTGGAGGGGCTTAGGAAAATTGCAATATTCTTTTTTCCTAAAAACATTTTCACTTGCAAATGGGAGCCTGGTCATGGGCAGTAATGAAAATGCAGGTTATCCATTATGCTAAGAGGTTGGCTGTGCTCTGGATTAATGTACTGCTTAATCTATATTAGATAATATGAACAAATAAGATATGAGACTGCAGCATATTCAATTGTCTTCATTTTGCTCTGAATTCCTTATCAGGGAAAATCAATTTGATTGTTTCATAGATGATTTGGATAATGGGGAGAAAAGGAGGAAGACTCACATTTGAATACCCCTTTTCACAAAGGATCTGTTCTAGCAGGGCTGAAAAGCAGGTGAACATCCCAATTCCTCCTCCAAAGCACACTGCCAGGATGATGTATGGCTTGTTTCTCAGGAGCTAAAAAAAGAAGTTAATGTAAATAAGTGGAGGGGGGAAAAGGGCCTGGCTGTGACAGTAGACTTGAGGGTGAGCAGGTGAAAATGCTGACAGGGCAACTCTGTGATTACTGACAAAGTAGGGCTCTGTCCTGTCAGTTCAGTGAGAGGACAAGTTAAAATGGGGACCATGTAGGGAGGAAAGATCTCTTCAGTGCCCAAGTTCTTCCTTCGTGTTGCCATGTGCTGTCCTACCCCTTACCACATCTGTTCAGAGGGCTCGAGTTGTGTGGTCCTCTTGGGTGAGCCCTGGTGTGCCTGTTTGAGGTATCTGAATGACAGCCAGCCCACAGCTGAATGCTCAGATAGCATCTCTTGCAGCTTTGCTGTGAGCAGCCTCCACTCCCAGAGGAAGGAAGGGATCCTGATCTCCTTCAGGGGGCTTTCCATGCAGGTTTGGGGAAGTGGCGTTCTGAGTCTGCTTTGTAAGCGAATTCCCCAGCATATTCCTGTCTGGCAGGGCTGAATCCCTCACTCCACGTGGCACTCTCTGTGCTATAGCACTTACCATTTTGAGCCCCGTGAAGAACGGCTGTGAGTTGGAGTTAGTGGCACTGGCTGAAGGAGGCGTGGGAGGAACCTTCTCGTGAATCCCCAGTGTTGCCAGGGCACAGGCAGTTACTGCTGGGACAGCATAAACACCCAGCTACACAACAAAAGGACAAGACAAGTTACCAGTCTTTCCAGGTCCACTGCCCCCAAACAAATAAATCAGCTGGACTCAAATTAGCCCAGCTAAAACTAATAAAAGCAGATTTCATTTACCATCAGTGGAATGTGCTTTCCTTCAGGAACTAGTGCAGGTGACAACAAGTTTGCTATAAGAATGCCTAAGGGATTGGCTGGAAGGAAATAAAAGAGAGACATTTTTTTTTTCACGCAGGTAGTCAGAATTATGTGTCTGCCCCTATTGCCTGCCAGCACCAGAGCTGCCGTGTGCAGCAGAGTAATAAGGACAGAACAAGGCACATACAGGGAGAAACTAGTAGGGGAACATTTGGAGAAGCTGACTGTTTGGTCTTACTGTTGCCACATCTGTTCTCTCACCCCCATGAAGTCCATCCTATAAAACCATTTCTCTACAACTCCTAACCCCTCTAGACTGTTTTTCATCTGTGAATTATGATGTACTCACCCTCAGAAGCCTGCCTCAGTAAATGTCAAGCTAAAGGGACAAAATTAAGGTGGACGAATCCGTGACATCTGTCCTGGTGTTATATGGCAGGAGTTACAAACAGAGATGTTTTCCATTCTTTGTTCCCCCATGTCATTAGGGGGAATACACTATTGTGTGTAAGAACCCCCTGAGGCTTCTGGAGGGTGAACAGTGGCAGCTTGCTCAGCCTCAGCTGGCATCATAGATGCTCCATTCCCTTAACTGTCTTAGTGGCTCTTAACTGCACTTACACTAATATGTCCATGCCCTTCTAACATTGAAGGAATCAGATGTGGACAGGGGACCTCCTCAACCTGCTGGCAATGCTCTTTTTAAAAGTCACTAGGATGCCATTAGTTTCCTTTGTCAAAAGGGCATGAACAGCAGATAAGCCAAATGACAGCTGTCTAAAGTGACACTAGGTCATTCCTGACACTTTTCAAGCCTTTATGCTTCCTCCATAAAGCCCAAACAGGCTTAACAAGTTGATCTTTGCTATCAACTACAAAAATCACATGGCAGCAGAGAATCTCAGACACTGTACTGCGAGAGGGTGTTGCATTGTTATGGGGCTGGATTTGAGCAGCACGTGAAGCAGGACTCCTGGGACTTAGCTTGGAAACACCTAAAATTGCAGGAGACGATTTTTGAACTTTAAGGCAACATTCCGCAAGTAGTCAAAGTAGAGTTGATTTTCTACTAGTGTGGAGGGATGGGGTTAGGAAAGCCAAAGCCAGCTTGGAACTGAGTCTGGTGAAGGGCAACGAGGGCATCTGCAAGTACTTTAGCAGCAAAAATAAAATTAGGGAAAATGTGGTGCTGTTGCTGGAGGGGGTGGGAGACTTGGTGACAAAGCACACAGAAAGTGCCAAGGTATTCAATGCCTTCTTCACTTCATTTGTTGTTGGTAAGACTGGTCTTCAGCCCTGAGACGAGAGGTAAAGTCAGGAGTAATGAAGATTTACCCTCGATGGAGGAGGACTAGGTTAGAGAACATTGTATAGCCCAGACATACACAAATCCATGAGACTGATGGGATGCATCAGTACTGAAGGAGCAGATTGTTTGCATTGCAAGGCCATTCTTGGTTACCTTTAAAAGGCCATGGTAATTCCAAGAGGCTCCTGAAGACTGGAAGAAAGCATATGTCACTCCCATCTTCAAGAAGGACAAGAAGGAGAATCCAGGGAACTTTCCAGGCCTTTCAGTTTCACTTTGATCTCTGGGAAGGTCATGAAACAACTAAAACTCTCCACCATTTCCAGGCACAGGAAGGACAATAAAGTGAAAAGGAAAAATGCCTAACTAATCTAGTAGCTTTTATACAGTGAAATGACTGGCTGGATGGATGAGTAAAGGGCAGCTGACACTGTCCCCATAACAATCTTGCAAAAAAACTGACAAAGTACTGGCTAGACTAGTGGACAGTGAGATGAACTGAAAGCCAACTGAATGGCCAGGCCCAGAGGATTGTCTTCACTGACAGGAAGACCAGCTGGATGCCAGTCACTAGTGATGCACCCCAGGGGCTGATACTGGGGCCAATACAGTCTAACCTGGATGATAGGACAGACTGCACCCACAGCCAGTCTGCAGATGATGTGAACCTGGGAGGAGTGGCTGATAGAAGAGGTGGCCATGCTGCCATTCAGAGGCACTGCAACAGACTGAAGAAATGGGTAAAGGGGAATCTTGTGAAGCTCTGCTAGAGGAAATGCAATGTGCTGCACCTGGGGAAGAATAATGACACCCCCCTCCCCCATCCACCAGTGCCCCTTGAGGCTCACCAACAGGAAAGCAGCTCTGCAGAGAAGGACTAGAGGGACGGGTGCACATCAACTTGACCATGAGGCAGCAACACAACCTCCTGATAAAGAGGCCACCAGCAGCCCGGGGTCTGCACTAGGCAGGGTGTTGTCAGTGGGAGGTGCTCCCTCCCCTCTACTCAGCACTTGTGAGTCCACATCTGGATTATTGTGTCCAGTTCTGAGGCCTCCAGTGTAAGGGAGATAGGAACTTACTGGTCCAGAAAACAGAAAATATGATTAAGGGACTGGAGCTTCTGTCATGGGAGGAGACATTAAGAGAGCTAGGACTGATCAGCCTGGAGAAGCTACTGGAAAGCAGTTTTGCAGAGAAGGACACGGGGTCCAGATGGATTGCAAGTTGACCACAAGCCAGCAATGCACCCTTGAAGAAAGGTGTCCAACAGCATGCTGGGCTGCATTAGGAAGAGCATTTCCAGTAGCTGAAAGATCTTTACTCTCTACTAAGACCTGGTGAGAAACATAGAGGAGGTTGAGTCCAGTGCTGGGTTCCTTGATACAAGATACCAATTAATGGAGCAAGTCCAGACAAGGGCCAAAGACATGATTAAAGGAGTGGAACATCTCTCATACCTAAGGAGGCTGAGACAGCTGGGACTGTTTAGTCTGGAGAAAAGAACCTTGATCAGCAATTACAAAGATGGAACCAGACTTTTCTCACACAAAGCCTAACACAGGAATTTCTACCCAAACATAAACTTCTTTACTGTGATAGTGGCTTAGCACTGAAACAAGATGCTCAGATAAGCTGCAATACCTTCATCCTTGCAGACAGTCAAAACCCTGAATAGAGATAAACCTGGGCAACCTGGTCTAGCCAGGCCTGACTGAGCAGGGCATTGGACGAGATGATCCCAAGAGGTGCCTTCCAACCTTATCTTTTCCACGGTTCTGCTGAGGTGTCATTAATAGTGCTATAGCTGTACTCTTTCTGCTCTGTACTTGAGAAAGTAGTAGCTTATGATGCTGGTGAAATGTTACCTGCTTCTAAGTACATGGACTCAATTAAACAACAGTTTCCAAGGAGAGAGATTAAATCTTCTCTGTTGGGGTAAAATGCAACTGGGCATTGTTGAGAATATTTGCAGGTTGTAGCCTGCAAAGTAGTCAGCTGTTTTCATGAACTATAGACATGTTGAAGCAGTTCCAGAAGGTATGGCTGAGGGTTGGAAATGTGAGCACTGGGCTAAATTTTAATTTAAATTTTAAATTTAAATTTTAATTTTAATTTAAAACACTGAGACTACTTGAGTAATTACAAGGTTTCAGCTGCCTTCTTTTCCTGGGAAGAGAAATTTTATGAGCCTAAACCTTCTATGAATGGAAAGGAGATCACTGCAGTTAATCAACTGTACATTATGGTCCAAGAGTCCTGGTGGATTAGGTTGCAGTACTCTGCAGTGGAGCTATGTGTTTTGTGGTCAGTGATGCTGATGCACTGAAACTCCTCAGGGTGCAGACCACAGTAAATGAAGAATCCTATGGATGAAACAGGGGTCACTTCAGTGGAATCAGACAAGACTGTCTACTTTTGACACAGGAGAATTTCTCATGGTGTTCACAGGAGATCTGGCACTGCTTCTCTGTGACTAAGTCTCTAGAAGTGATGGGTAGGACCAGAATACAATAAATACTCCAGAGCTGAGTCATTAATCACTCTGACAGCTGAGTCATAGTGATTTCAGCTGCTCAGCAGGATCCTGGGTGCAAGGTCCATATTTGTCACAAAAGCCTGGGGAAGACTACCCACTAATAGCAAGAGGCTGTAGGGTCAGTTTCTGTGTGCAGCACTGATACCAAACATACTGGAGTGCTGAGTGCTGCTCTGGCAATTACACAGGAAATGGGTATTGATAATTTGGAGCAAGATGAGGGATAAAGCTCAAGTGAGCAACAGGAAGACATGGAGACAAGTGGGAAGAAGCAAAGGGAAATGTGGCTGTAAAGTTACTTTTTCCTAGACAAAAGAGAGAAGAGGTGATTCTGTCCATAACTACCTGACAAACAGGTGCAACAAGACTGAATAGCTGGGGGATAAGGAGCATCGAGATGAGAAGTAACAGGCTGACATTTGCCAGTGATGTAATTAACCACTGGAATAAATGACTGGGGCTGTGGTAGATCCTCGTTCTAGGCAATATTTAAATTTTCTTGAAATGAAATCCTGATTTTGTACAGCAGACATTATGGGTGTAATCAGGCACTATAAATAGAAGCCCTCTGTGCAGCAATCTGCAGGTGTTGCTTCAGACAATAATAACAGCCCATTCCGTCCACACTCTGATGTCCCAACGTGGCAGAGACTGAACAGCTTCAGGTTTTAGGAATCTACGGTTTCTTGCTCTTCAGTTTTATTCTTACCATAGTTAGATCCGTTTGGTCCTGAAAAGACTAAGGAGTTATGTGAAAGAAATGCTCTTTGGCTGCTCTGTCTGCTCTCTTACTTAAAAAGGGCAAGTTGTCTGCAGGCTGGGGTCCTTCAGGGCTATGAACTTTATTTCAGTGCCCAGTGGTCCTTGGTGGTATTGTATGGTGCCACACTGACAAAAGAGCTCCTTCTCCAGCAGGGAAGATGAAGGTCTGTCTCAGCACTGGGAAACAAGGTGAGTCATCAAGTCCACCCTATTCTAGGAAAGGCAGCGCAAAAAGATTTTATTTGTTCTGACACCATAAATCCATTCTTGGTAAACAAGAGAGCCCATGCTCTAGGCTTGCAGAAAGCTGTATAGAGGTGCTTCTGTACTGCCCTTTTGCCCATGCCTATCCCTTCTTCACAACTCCAACACAACGGGGAGGGAAAGCAGCTGTTGGCTGTTTTGACAGAAGGACATACGGGGCTCCAACACACTAGTAGGTACTGTGAGATTTCCCAGCTGGAGCCAGCAAGCCAGCCCAGTTTCTGAAGCATTCCTCAGGTCCTTGGAGAAAAGAGGAAGAGATTTCTTTGGCTGCTGGGTAAAAAGCCACATGAAGGGAGGAAACAGGTCTGTCAAGTGCAGTATCCTGTCTCTATCTGGACCCAAAGGAGACAAGAGAGGAACGAGATTAGAGCAAGCTTATCTGGGTGCCTCTCCTCCAGTTTCCCACCTTCCAGGCACTTAGCAAGGCAGGTGTGGTTTCTGTGTGGGTAGTCCCACCATTTAGCATCCCCAACATGTTTGTGTGGCCAGCTGAGGGTATTTTATCTGTGTATACATACACACCAATTAGGAATACATGCTCAGTCTTGCTACTGGATGAACTGGTGGACATCACTGCCACAGCAGTCCCACCTCTATCCAGTTACAGAATTTGGCAACTGTGACCATTGGCACTACATGCAACTTGGACACCTTCCTAAGAAGCTGCAAAATTAAGGCCATTGAAGACTTCGTACTTAGTAACATTAAGGGCTGTCCCTAACTTCTATGATATTTAGGCAAAGATGATAATCTCTTCATGGCAGAGAGAAAGAAGGTTAGAAGCCTGGGTGGCTTGCTCTGAACATAGCACCTAGATGTGGCTTAGACCCACTTCTTGCTCCTGTGTTTTGTTGCACGTGGCTACAAGACTCAGGGGTGGAGCTGCATTTGCAAGGGCAAATGGCTGCAGTACAGAACATTTCCTCTGCCTACTGCCTCTGAAAAGCAAAAAAATGCTAGTAAGTTCTGGGGGACAGCAATACTGCTTCGAAGCTATCACTTACCCATTGATGCAATCATATTTGCTGTCGCTCTCTGGTGGTCTGGGAACCACAGTGCTGCCAGCTTTGTTGGTGAAAAGATGATAAGAGGCTGCGCCAGTGCACAGAGGCATTGCCCAATAAACAGGTACCAGTAACTCCGGGAACCCAAGCTCAGGAACTTCAGGACGCTGAACATCCGGGTGATGCTACCCATCATGTTCAGCCATGCACTCAGGATCACCTGCAGCAAGCAGAAACAGGGCTTGTGTGCTGAAGTGTGAAGGGTAGAACTTAATAAAATAGATCAGCATGAGCAGAGTCTCATATGCACCACAGAAGACACTGGGTGTTATTAATACATGCCTGCAGATCATCCCTACCCCATTGGGCCACTGCAAGATGCTCCTCATCCAACTTGTCTCCTTAGGGAGCAATGTGGTTGTCTTGGCCCTGCATGAGAACTACACCACAGTGTAGCTTATGCAAGGGAGCAGACACTGGCGTGGAATGGATGAGAAATAAAGTTCACTAAGTACACCCTATTGGCAAGCTTGTGCCATCACCCATATTTTGCTGTGACAATCCAAAGATCATGGCAATGAATCATCCAGCATATGGATCCTGCAAATGCTCTTCTATACCACTAGCATGCTAGTGTTTCAGTGCCACATTCCACAACACAGTTTTGGGAAGACTGTGTAGAGATCCCAAGCTGGCTTAGCAGAGACCACGCTCTGAGCTGACAGGGGTCTCTTGCTTGCATCCTGTCCTGCTGCTCCTTAAACTCATCCTGCAAATGAAATAGCTATGCTAATACTTTTCCACAGCAAATCCTACCCAATTACAGCTCTGTCTTCACAGAGTCGCTCACAGCATCTATCCCTGTCATTTGGCTAAGATAACAAAAACTAAAGGAAAGTAGGGGTGCAACCTTATTCTGACTTTTCCCACTGTTCTTCACCTCAGAGGTGATGTGACAGCTGTTACTGAAACAGCTTTCAACATGCTCATCCTCTGCAGCATTTGGCAAGGCTCCCATCTAAAGCGTGCATGTTAGTGCTTTCTGCATCTGCTGTCTCTAGGCGAAACCTCCTCAGGGAAACAGAACACTTCAACTCACAGCACACCGGAGCCCCACGCTGTCAAGAACCCACGTTGCCACCAGACCAAACGGGATGGAGATGAGGAGGTACACTATTGAGAGCCAGTTGACCGTCTCCAGGGAAATGTGGAAGTAGGCAGCTGTCTTATCAGCCACAGGAGCGAACGTCAGCCACAGCTGCAGAGTAGAGACCAAACATGCGTAAGCACAAAAACCTCCAGAACAGAAATTCAGCATCTCCTCAAACTCAGTTGCGAGGAGGCTCGCTATCTTAGTCTCTCCTTGAAATTAGGATTTTAAGGCTGGTAATAAAAATTCAAACCTCCAGTGTCTGCGGTTACTTACTCGGCCCAGAGCACCCCATCCCTTTCACTGCCTCATCCCCAATCCCCTGGACCTGACGCTGGAGGCTGCCAAAAGTAGAGGCCAGTACCTTTTTCTGTCGCTATGTTGAACACGTTGGCCCCGATGCATGCACTTACCTGATGCAAAACACAAGCAATGCTTCTATACTAGCATAAACAAAATAGAGGCTGCTGCCTCCTCTCTGCAACTAAGAGCCTCTTAAACTCAGTCTGCTATTTACAGTTCCACTGGTAACTCCTGGACATCTTGCAAGAACAACTTTGTTATGTGTCAGCCAAGAGAGACACATTATTCCATGCTTTCCTCTGTATACTCAGATGATAAAAAAGGGCCTAGAAATTTGCATTATTCAATGTATCAGGACATGTAAGATGGAAGGTACACACAAAAGTAGTACTTTAATAACTATCCATATTTTTCTTCCAATGCCATATCTGAAAATATCTCCCTAAACCTTGTTTTAGGCACTGGTTTCACAGTTCCTGTCTGCTTCTGGATTCTTATAAGAATGACAAGACTTGATTCTAAAATCAGGTCCTGAGATCATGCACACAAGAAAGAAATTTAAACCCAAATTTAAGGATGTTTCTGTAGATTTTTTGCAAAGACGCCTCCTGGTGCTTTTCAAAAAGATTGGCCTAACCTGAGAACAAGTTTCAATAATGTGGATGTTAAGCTACTACGGTGTTAGAAGATGATCTTGCTGCTGCTGAATACTGAAGATAATAAAGTTTGCAGAAAAGTGAATAAAAACTTCAGCTATAGCTTTCTACAGAAGAACTCCAGCCACTGTTGCTTTCCAGGTACTCCTCCCTGCCATCACAAGCTTCCTCTTCCCAGTCTGCATCCTGCGGACAGGATCATCTGCAGCATTAATGCGTAACTGAAAAAGGGCTCAGATAACCTCAGAGGAAGGTGTGTCCCTACACTCTACTTGTTATTTCCAGTGTTCTAGTACTTTTCTTACGCACTAGGGACCATAAAAACTACCACATTAGACAGGAGCAGAAGGGGAGATGGACTTCTTTTCTTCCTGGTGTCACTGTGTGAGAACAGCCATGTGCAAATCATTGTTTAGCTAGGCTTTTCTCCTAGTAGGGATGCAATGAGTAAATGGTAGTAAAAGAGAAGTTGTGAATGCATTATCAGTGTCCTTGCAAGGATGCCTAGCATCAGTCTTCTCTGGAAGGAGCTGACATACTACTGTCTCCTGCATTCAACTCAAAGTTCACATCACCACACTGGGCTCAGACGCACACGTGACATCAGTCAAAGGTCTGGCAGAGGATGGATTTGGTATTTGCTCAGCTTCTTCAGTCAGGTGGATGAAGATGCTGGGTGCTGAAGGAAATTGTACTCTTAGACAACACGGAGGGTATTCCAGATCACTTCCCAGACTTTCATCAGACTGGGATAGGAATTTAAATATTTAATGCTAATGTAACTGTTTAGATGCTACTAGCATCACTAAGGCATGAGCATTAATTTGTTTATGGGATGCTAAACTGCTGCTAAACAAATCCCAGCTGTGTATTTCCAGCAATAGCAGTTCTCAGTTCCTCACTGCCTTCCAGATGGGGGTGGTGGTGATGAAACACTGTACCAGGAAACAGTGTAATTAAAGAGATGATACATTTTGTAAGCCAGCTTCAGGTAAATTTGCATCCCTCCTGTTCCTCTACACAAGATGCTCACCCATGCATGACATCATTAGGAGAGTCATGGCACAAGCCAGAGCACAGCATTTTGTGCACAGAGTATGTGTCTACGCAAGCCAGGATTAAGTATTCTGACGCATTTCCATTAGACCGAGTAAAACCATTCCCTGCTGAAAACCAAGCACATGGGCTGCGCTGTACTCCTATCCTGAACAAGAACTCCAGTTCTAGCATAAGTGTGTGAGAGCACAGAAGCTGGAAAGTTGCCTCCTGTCCAAGCCTGAGGCCCGAGCTTGTTCCTCAAAATAGGAAGTGGGTTTCTTCAAGGGTCTGGAGAGAAAAAGTATGTTTCGTTGTTTACCATGTGTTGCTCTGTAACAGAGAAATTCAGAACTAGGCAATGGAGCTCAAGGTGTTACTATAGTCAAAGAGGCCACCAAATGCCCCTGCAACAAAGAGATGGCACTGTGGAGTTTTGTCCAGCACAGGGAAATAGTGAGTGAGTATGCCACCTCCTGCTTTTGGTTTTTCCAGCTGTGATAATTTCATCCACAGTAGTTAGTAAGCTCTTCTGCTAGGAGCTGGAGCCCTTATCCTGCATGTTTTTCTGAAACTCTGCACTGCCAAGGCTGGTACTTACACAGAGATTGCTCTGATTCAAGTCCACTCATGCAGAACAGGTAAAGAAGATGCAGTTCTTTCTTGGCGAGGTCAAAGTCCTGTAACATCTAAAGATGCATAATACAGGCAGAGGGAGGTTCCACGCTCCTTCACTCTCCAAGGGCCATTGTCTTAACTCAGCTTTGGCCCACCAAAGCCACAGAATCACAGAATGACAGATATTCTGAGCTGGAAGGGACCCACAAGGATCATTGAGTCCAACTCCTGAATGAATAGCCTGTATCAAAGCTCAGGTGAGCTTTGACATCCACTGCAGGTCACAGGGACAGATGCAGGAGGAGAGAGAACATGAGAGGTCATAGGATGTCAGCTCCCAAAATCTGGTTGCTTCTGGGACAGACAGGTGAAAAAGAAACAGAAAGACAGATACCTCTGTGGAAATACACCCTTGTGGTCTGGTCAAGCTACGCTCAGCTCCATTGTCTGAGAGGCCACACAGAACTAGAGCCTCAGTGTGAGGTGCAGAAGGCATCAAGAGGAGCCTCTGTTATGCACTGTGCTGCTTCGTCCCTGTCCTCATGTGCTTCTCTGGAGGCAGCTCAACAGATGTCACAATGTCAGTTCCTGTTTGCGATGCTGACAAGCAATTTTCACTCACCTACTATAGCTCATGTGCCTTCAGAGCCATGCCAGGGCTACAATTAACCAGAACCTTTCATCACACTTCGACGAAATTCCCAACTTGGCAAAAGTTGGAGCGGATGATGATGGAGGTCAGCAGCAGTTCACACTTTGGGCCATGGCATGTTAGGTCAAGAGATTTACACAGAAGCCCACGCAGAGCTACTAAAGCACAGGAACTCTTTCCTTTGAAGACCAAACAGCTACAATGAGTCTGCGAGCCCAATCCCTTAATACTTGGCAAAACTCATTTCCCAGCATTACCTCACAGATTTTGCACTAGTTGTTCTCAAATGAAGCTTCTCCTGTAGTATAGTCCAATGTCATTCGTAATGTTCACTCGTGTTGTAGACCACAGTATTTGCTCCTTCAGCATTTCGTATGGACCTTTCCCTCCTTTCAGATATGCATCTAGCAGGATGTTGGAATAGCTGCTGCAATAGCACACACTATCTCTTCTCCAAATACACGAATTGAAGTTCCCACACTTCTCTCCTGAGTTCAAGCCTTAGAATCAGATTCATCTCACTGTGATTCCTGGGTTTAGGGACAGCAAAAGCTTCAGTGCATGCTAGTGTGGGCTGGTGTCCTACCTCAGCACACATTCTTTGCTATAAAAACTTGTGCTCTGCACAGCAGGCACAGCAGCTGAGGAAGCGGACAGAAAGCCCCCTGAAGACCTGCAAGCCTGCTCTGGCTTGCAAGGGAGTACAGATGCAGCTCCCATTGGCACACAGCTGGCTGACTGGGGAGCCATGCCCCATCATCAGAAGAAAAAGACAGAAACGTTTTCCACCTAGAGTCTACTTACATCCCTAATTACAGGGGTGGCCCTCCACACTTTCTTTAACAATGTAGGACAACCAGGGAAAGCAAGGGCACCGACAGTCAAACCAGTTGATTGGTATGGATATTGGAGGGGTCCTGGCTCCACTTTCAGCTCTCCCTCCCTTTGCTTTAAGCTTCTTCTTCTAGCTTTTGCATTTAATCCTCCAGCACCTCCGAGGGACTGCCTGGTCCCTTCTCCATTAACTGAGGCTTAATGTCCTTTAAAGGGGGCTGACAAGAAAGATGGAGAGGAACTTTCACAAGGCACGTAGTGGTAGAACAAAGGGGAATGGCCCTAAACTGAATAAGGGCAGATTTAGATCAGAGATTAGGAAATTTACAGTAAGGTTGGTGAGGCACTGGCACAGGTTGCCTGGTGAGGTTGTGGACTCTGGAGTTGTTCAAGACCAGGCCTGGATGGGGTTCTGAGCAATCTGGTCTAGAAGAAAGTCCCTGCCCATGGCAGGGAGGTTGGAACCTAAAGATGATCTTTAAGGCCCCTTACAGCCAAAACAATTTTATGATTCTATGACAATTGCAAGCCTTCATGGGCATTCCTGTAACCAAGAACAAATTACAACTGTTCTCATCCTGATTCCATTCCTGGTTTTCTGTTACATTTTCTGATACCCTCTTAAACCCTTAACTGATTCTCAAATATGGTTTCAGCCCTCTTCCTCCCAGAATCAGCCCAAACCCTCTCATTTTCCTCCTGCTTTCATTCCCCTTCCACCTCCATCTTCTCCTGGTTCAGTTCTTCCACCATATTGCTCTCACTGTTTCCACAGCCATACAGAGTCTCCAGGAACTATTTCACCCACAAGACCTAGTTTCCCTCCATGAATTCCAAGGCAGCCCACAGTTCCCAGCTTTACCTACAGCAGTTCTCCCAGTCCCAGCATGCTTTCTCTCATGCACGTGGACACCGATTACAGGGCGATGGAGGATGTCTTTCTGCGGCATGGAGGCTGCCCCCTCACCCTCTGAGACCAGGCTGTGAAGCCCTTACATCACAGTCCTCATCTTCAAGGTTAAAAGGGCCACGTAGCCTGGAAGCAAACAGCCCCTGGCCTCAAACAAAGGCACCTGTGCTGACACAGGAGCCTGGGAAGTCAGGACAGAGGCTGCCAGGCGGCAGCAGCTGTGTGTGCATGCGTATCTACAGAGGCACTGCTGGAGCAGACTGGTGTGGGTGAGGAGCGTGTGCACCCTGCCCTGGAGCATGCCAGTCTCCACTTATGCAGCTCTCCTTCCTCTCCCAAGTACACTTAGAGGTGGTGTAAGTCCTCCAGCTGGTGAGTCAGGAACCACTTGGCCGAGCATGAGCCAGCTCCAAACCGCTGCTCCTCCCCAGCTTGCTCCAGCTGACAAGCACAGAAGAGGACAGTAAACACACCTGGTTTCATTATTCTGTATTTTTCTGTGTCCTCAGTGTGAGAAAATAAGAAAAAGTTCCTCCCCCGAAACATAAATTTCCAACCTGCTTGGCTTCACAGGAAGGAGGCAAGAAGGAATGAGTCATTTGCTTCAGCAGTTTACCACTACGGCAGCTGTGAGCACACCATGAATACTCTTGAACATTAAGTCTTTGGATGAAAAAACCCACGCTTAAAACACTGCATCAGTTTGGCAAAACAAACCCGGGGAGAAACCTCAGGCAGAGTTATGTCACACCTCACCAGCTGCAAGAGACAGCTGGGGATAAATCATCTAAGCTTAGCTGTGGCTAGAACATCTTCTCTGCCCAGGACTTCAGGTA